GCAAAACATACTGTTCACACTCTCTAATCACTGGCTACAGATGTAAATCCAATGCAGAAACCATGTTTCAAGGGAACCCCACGTTCCATCAAAAACAACACACACACACAACATCCAGAAACACTCGCTCACTCTGCTTGGTCACGTTTCAGCTCGGGCGGAGGCCTCTGCTCTCTGAGGGACACAAGATTTCCAACTTTAAACCCACTCGAATCTCCCTCACCTCCTTCTTTGGGCGACCCCCATACCCACCAACCCACACCCCCCCCTTCCTCCATCAACAGCGTCACACCACAGACCAAATAGCATCTCTCACGGCTTGCTGTTGCCATGGCAACTCCATTTTCCAGAAGCCTCCAGCCCGGGTCTCTATACAATAACTGGTCTCTCTTGGATACAGAGACGTGTGCGAGAGGCAAAGAGACACGATGTCCAACTGTGTACACGTGATGCTAAAAATAAGCCTTGAAAACTACATTTTCTTAATTAAATCAATTATGTATGTATGTGATTAGGATACTGACACAACATGGGGAAATTATAGGTTCAACATGACACAATGTTGACTATGCCGCTTCCAAACACTTAAACACAGCGTCGGCGAATGAATGGGCTCCATTTGAATGCTGATTAACTCCACGCACAGAGCAGGAAGTAGCAGGTTCCCGCTCTCCTCTCTCCTCCGATGAACACAGCTCTGTGTATTCCCAACCTTAATTATTCATGTCCCACTTACTCCTGACAAATTATTCAGAGCTTACTCTAATACCACACTCTCTGTCAACGATGATTTTCTTTAGAATATATCAATAACGATTACAGATTGGTAAGGTAGCATCATTTCCTTCATTTGAAATGGATAGGACTGAATATTTCATGAAGTGTTGTCGTCGTTTTTGACAAGACTGAACTCATTTCTAATTGTTTGAGAGTCAGGGTTTGGAGAATAACTAAAACATCGAGTATATTATTGAAAACTTATGCAGAAAGCTTTTTAACATCTGTAGTTACCAAATGTTTTACTATTAAAATGTACAGTGAAGCAGATAAAGAAGAATCTGTTCTTAGTCATCAACATGAATACATTTAAAGTGTTTTTTATTGCTGGTTGTAGTTTAGTTGTATGTTCTTCATATTCTTTTTTAGCAGTTATGTTACAGGTGTTGTTTTCTTTTGAAAAAATATCCTTTTTTATAAAGGAAGCTGATTAACTTGACATTAAGATACATATTTTTTAAATCTAGTGATCAATCGGGCTGCTACGATTATTGTCATAACCAGGTCCCGTGAGGATTCAAGTAATTGATTTGTTTGGTCTGAAAGTCAGAAAATGCCCATGAGAATTATTTGAATCCAATGTGATGTATTCAAGTAGCTTAACCCAAAAGTTCAAAACCCCTGAACATACTGAGAATTATCATATAAGTCCAAACAAGCAGCAAATCATCACATTTGAGTAGAGGGAAACTAAGAATGTACACGATTAATCAAATTGTTGTTGCATTTCAGCTACTTGCCTAAACAAATATAGATATGTTTCACCCATCAGCAGCATATCGGAGTGAAATCTGAGTATTGACAGGAGAAATCCACAAAACTGTTCCCTTCTGCAGCTCCCATTAAAGATCCTTATATTGTTTTTCTATTTGCCTGTGATATGTCGCAAATGAGCACCTTATTATTTGATATCGTTGTCAATACATTTTCAACAGACTGTTTATTGCAACTTGTTGTGCCGCCCTCAACATTTCAGATACACTAAGCTTGAGGCAGCAATGAAATATCCAAAGACATGAACAGTTACCAATAAGTGATCTCAGACAGACTTTCAGTCACATAATCTGAATCTGCTTCTAATTATAATGTCACAACCAATAATGATGTTCGTCAGTTAAGCATTCACTATAATGTCTCACTCCAACTGAAAGTAACCACAGATGAGAATTTATTTTAGCACTGAATCAAATTCAAAATCATTGTATATCAATAAGCATGATACATGTCTGCTGCCTGTGTGTGTTCATATTGCCACTGTGAGTAATTTATAGCAACCGATGCCAAGATACAATGAATGAATAAGATGAGTATTACAGCATTACTGGGACTGAGTGGGTTGGATCCACCGACTCCAGGGGGGGGGGGGATGTGACTCCAATGTGATCCTGTGTAATCGCATTAAATAAAAATGATCTAGGTCTATATAATGGTAGCTTAATTTTAAGCAAAAGGAGCACTGATGGGGGAAGCAAAACATCAGATTTGGCTGTTTTTAGTCACCTGTTGGTTCACTTTCCCTTATTGATATTACTCCCCTCTGTATTTTGATAAGTGCAGCACTGTGGGGCTCATTAGCATAAGAAGAAATGTATGACATTAAACCTATTAAAAAAATGATACATAAAAAGCCTCCGAGTACTTTGAATGCATGAGGTGGCCTTACCTTCTTCCTCACTGGAGCCCCTCTCTACAGCTGGATAGAGGGGGGGTGTGGTGCTGACGCTGGCTGCCGCTGTACTTTTAGTGAAAATGCCACTTATGAACTTGAGCATCTTTCGGTCTTTCGGAGGAGCGCGCTGGATTGTCCCTCCCTGGCCCTCCTTCCCCCTTTTCAGGTCCTCAGAGGGGGAGTGCAGGTCGCTGTTGTCCACGGTGCGACTCGGAACTTTCCTCTGAAGCCTGGACATGTCGGGGGCTACAGGTGCAGGCAGGGAAACAGACACTGTTTTAAACCTCTCCCCCTGAGGACTGTCCCTGGCCATGATGCCTGAAAACCCCCCGCTGACAGGGGCTCCGGGGCGGATGAGCGTGCCCCTCCCGTCGCTGTCAGCCCAGGACGCCCTGTAAGGCCCCAGAGTTGTAGCTGCCATTAGAGGAGACTGGTCCCCGAACCGGTTATCCCTCCGATCCAAAGTCCTAGCAGAGTGATACAGGCCTGCGTTGGCTTCTCTGAGTTCCCTCCACCCAGCAGAGCTTCCTCCTGCATGTGACCTCATCAGGACCTCAGGACGCTGGCTGACCTGCGGCGGGATGGAAAAAGGGAGGCTGCAACGAGAGCGACTGCTCAGGTCTGCTCCATTTTCCCCCTTCAGGAACAGATTGGGGGGTTCTCTGTAGAGTTCAGTTTTAGGGCGCATGGCCTCTGAGCGGGGACCCTCTCTGCGCACTGTTCCCTCAGAGGTAGTCCCTCCATACACTTTGACCATTTGCCTAATAGGTGGATGTACAAAAGAAGTGTCTCTGCTTTTACCGACTGATACCATGTCTCTCTGAGGTTCCCTCCTCTCAAGCCTTCCCCAGTTCTCGATGGGACTGCCATATTTGACATGCTGCACCTGTTCCAGCTCTTCTCCCCCCTGTGTGCTCTCCTCTTCCCCCACTTGTATGCACACGGGTTCTTCCTCCCGTTCAGGGGCATTGCTCACCTCCTCCTCCTGCTGCTCCTCCTCTTTCTTAGGGCTCCCTTCCCCCTCTGGGAGAGCCTCCCTCTGGTTCCCTTCTACATCCTCTGGCACAGCCTCAACCTTCACCAGAGTGAGGGAGATGAGGTAGGTGGTGCGTTTCTGTGGGTTGGCTGCCTTGCTCATTGGGACAGCAGACTTCAGCGCAGTGGCACCTGCAATCAGCCAGACCTGCACACCTCAGTCATGGCAACCGGGACACGACTGGAGCAGAGGAGAAAGAACATCTAAGATCAACATCAAACACAGATCCAACCTGATGCTATCACACCTTGTGTAGAAGATTATGTCTGATATCAGGCTTGTGGCTTGACAGGAATCCAAGTTTCTTCATGAAAATATTCAATAAAGACATGATTCAGGGAAAATACAGGAATGCATTTTGAATTCCAAATTTTTTAGAATATATTTGAAAAGGCTGACCCACTGCTGTAACTAGTCTAGACTGATTTGTAATGCCTCCATTAATCCTCTTCAATGCACACCGATACTACGGGTCCCATACTGATTCATTCATAATCCTTACCTCTCGTTGCTCTGCTTTTCTTCCCTAACTATTTTAGTCTGTGCAAATGTGACATGTAGTCACAGGGCTAGCTTGAGGAGAAAGGTATTTACACTCTGTTGATGCCTCAGACTCAGATTTCAGCCTGGAATTATGCAACAGCCGATACATTTGGTTGATCCATTTTTTGTGAGTACAAACTGAAATGAATGCTGGCTGAATAATGCCACCTTACTATAGAATGTGAATGTATAGAATTTCCATATCATACCTTCATTTTTGCTGAAGAATATCCATTGAACAGTTCCTCGTACATTCGATTTCATGAAGAATTGATCTTGCCATCAGATTACCATTCATATCAAACGGCACATCAAAGGGCTGACAAGAAATGAGCTCCAGCTGATACGAGAGAAAGAAAACTGGTGAAAAGGAACAGGGTGCAAAAACGTATAAATGGAAATCATTCACTTGTCACGAAGCGTCTGGCAGCTGGAGCCTCCATACGACAATGTCATGCATAAAATGATGTATGCACGGTGTGGGGGTCACTGCGAGATGCTGAAAAACATCTGTTGTTATGTCTCCAGAAAATGAAAGGAAGAGACGTAGTAGCCAGATTTACGCAGCCTGAGCAATGCTTCCTTCTGCCTGTCCAGAGCAGCTCCGCTCGGTCACCGCATCCTCTCCTCCGAGTGCCTCATCCAATTAGCAAGTCAATAAAATGTGTCTGTGAGGCGGAGGAAGCCCACCAGCTCACCACAGCCCCTCCTCCTTTTTTTCCTCCTCTTCTCGCAGCCACAGAGCCTTGCAGCCCCCCGCTAGCCCGCTGTTAGCCTGCCGCACAACCTGCTCCACTCTGGATCCAGCTCCGAACACAGGATGGGGATGAGAGGCATCCAGTGAGACGGTGTTGCTCCCTGCCAACATGCATCAGATTTGCATCTGTGCCGATACGACAAAAGAGAGACGAGAGAAAAAAACCCAACTCTGCTCCTGCAAAAGCACCTGCCCTGTTTCCAGCTCTGTCTGTCTCTCCCTCTCCGTTTCCAGAGCAATGTATGAGCAGCTCCCGCTCTCTCCCCCCGCTTCAGCATCCCCTCTCAATGAGGATGCACAGAACTAATCTGGGTGTCTTTGGATCAATGCAATATTTAGAAAGCAATAAGGATTTGTGTATGATGTAGGAAACTAATGAATATACGTATTTAGTATTTGCAGGTCATTAAAAAATAAAAATAAAAAACATATACGAAGATAAAATCGAATTTCCTGATCCTTTCTAAATGGATAATCGAAACTAAGCAGCAACGCAACCAGATCAAATGAAACTGTAAATCTTCAGGGTGGAAACTAAAAGGAGAACAAAATAGTTATAATTTGGAATGAAGATTATGCGCGCATACTGAAGGCCTATTTAGGTCAGATAAAAAAAGTTGATGCAACATTTCTGATTTAGATGTTATATCACATTATGGACTTTTGTTTCTCATTTTGATAAAACACTGCCAGCTATATACATTTTGGAGGAAGGTCTAACATTATTTTTACTTAAGTTAAGTGCATGATTGTATAATTGAATTGCTTAATGGAATTTGTTTTACATTTTGGGTTATTAGCTTTTTTGCGAAAAGTAGGATATTGATACTATGTTCACATCTGTGAGCTAAATATTCCAGTTAGCTTAGCAGAAAAACAGGAAATAGCTATTCTGCCTTTGTTCAAAGGTGGAAAAAAATTAAAATAATGATTACTTGGATTTATATAGCGCCTTTCAAGAAACCCAAGGACTCTCTTTACAATAGGACGAGGGGCCGTGGGGGGGACTAAAAGGAAAACAGTCACACAACAGGGGTGAGAAAATATGAAGATAAAAAAACCGGCTGGTCACAAAAATATAGAGAAGATTATCTGAGTCTCACAGCCTTGACGAACCTTGAGTGCTTCTTTGATATTAACTTAAACAACTCTAAAGCTCTCTAACATAACTCATACGCTTTTCTGTACTGAATAAACAAATGACAACTTAGTCTGTTGGTGAGATAAAGAGTCTTTAGTACATGTTTTTTTAAACGGAGTCAAGCTCCAGTGTTGCTTGTCTTTATGCTAAGCTAAGTGGTAGCTTCATATTTACAGTACAAACATGAGTGGTATTGATCTGAAAGTGAATTAGCTTATTTCCTCATTTAATTAACATTGAACTGATCACTCATCTTACTAGCAGCTTCCAAGTTATTATAGGTCTCAAGTGATACGGTGTATGAATGTTTGTTCATAACCAGGCAATACATATACTTGGACAACTGTATAGGACGTTCTTTTATATTGTTGAGTACATGTATTTCAGTGTTTTGAATTTGTTAATTTGTCCGATCTTTCTTTCTTTGTTAGCGAAATGACTCATTTAAAGGGGAACTGTGTTACTACTCAATGTATTGTGTGGCTTTGGAATTAGCTTTTTTAAGATTGAGAAGAAAACGTGTAGCAATCAGGGCTTGGTTTTGGAAATTTCCCATTTACACACATTAAAATAAATCCTGAAGTTTGAAAGATGTGGGCACTCCGCAGGCAGGAAGGGGGCTTATGAAAGGAACACGAGCAGCATAGAGTGAAGTGAATGATGCACTCTCTTTGTGCTTAAAGGTGGGGTAGGTAATTTTGGAGAAACCAGCTCGAGTGCGCTAGAATTTGAAAATACACAGCCGGAAGAAATCTGCCACTTCCTTACAGAGCCCCTCCTCCAACACACACAAACGCGCACATGACCAATGAGGGCACGAGATAGGTTTGTGCACAGATGGAAGGCTGACAGGCAGGTAGGCCATCCAGTGATTTTAGCCGGGCCNTGATGTCATACGATGTTTGTCTTGTGTACCATTAGCCAATCAGCAACCAAGGTAACCCCTCCCCCCCCCCCCCCCCACCTTATCACCTGAATCTGCTCCTAGAGCACCATTGAGTTCTTTGTAACCAAATGTCTCTCAGAGGGGCGTGGGGAGGGGCTCCTTATTTTCGTCTAAAGTAACAGACAGAGGTTCAAGTCGAATAGTCCATTTAGCTTAGGAACCTTCCTAACCAAGTGAAATGACNATATCTGAAGTGCTTTGAGAAAAAAATCCATTAAAAAATGCCATCTGTGGAAGCCGTAGTACTGTAAAAAGCACGACCAATCATTTTAGCCGGCCCGGCTAAAATCACTGGATGGCCTACCTGCCTGTCAGCCGGGCCGGCTAAAATGATTGGTCGTGCTTTTTACAGTACTACGGCTTCCACAGATGGCATTTTTTAATGGATTTTTTTCTCAAAGCACTTCAGATATTCATAGCTATCGGGATGTTAAGAGCATTCCATGGAATATAACAAAAAGTGTATCATGAGCCGGTTTCTCAAACTTACCTACCCCACCTTTAACATTAGTCTCTTGTAAGTCCCCCACTATATAAAAGAGCAATACTAAATCATGTGGTCACCTGTAAAATGTCAAATGTAACAATTCCCCTCCAAAATAACAACAAAAGAGGAGACACCTGCTGCTTATTTAGACAGCCGCATTCATTGACTGTTTATATCATTACATAAAGACAGATAAAGTGAGGCAGACTTTATTATTTTGTTAGTATTTAAGGTTAGTGTTTTTTCCACACAAAGTATTTCAGTGCTCATAAAATCACATTAATTCTAAAAGAAAACACCATCATGTGTATAATAAAAATACACAAATGAAGTTTGAATGTGATTAAAATATTTTATTATTTGTATGTGGTTGCAGTGCTAGTGGATTTCAGATGGGATTGACAAACTGACATAAAATGTAACATGAAATGAAGTCCAACCCTTCAGTCCTTTGATCAATAAAAGAAAAAAAAATGTTTAAGGGCAATACCAGTATTTTTGTCTTTCTTGTGCGTTTTTCTTCTGCGACTATTCTTTCATTTCCCCATGATTTTCAGAAGACGGATGGTTTTACTCTACCTTGAGTAGGACAAATACTAAGACAAACACAGATCACTAAAGACTGGCTGCTCTGACCCTGAGGTGTCACTCTTGTCAGACATTGTTCAGCTTTTAATGAGAAAAGATGACATCTCTGCTTCCTTCTGTCTAAGCACTGCACAAAAGTTACAAGAGCAACATTTCAGAGGAGATGACAGACGTGTCTTTGCGCCAGTCCCTGCGGACAAGACTGATACACAAATCAAACATCAAAAACACTGGTTTTGTCCTTGAAGACACGCCATGTTAACATCATTAATTGTGACGTTGGAAAGCATGCCAGTGATCCTTAAGTTCCCTCCTCTTCTTTTTTTATTCCACTTCTCAGGCTTTAATCCTGTTTTGATGTAGCAGTAAATAAAAAATATATCCCAAAGCATAACCCAGACGTCTTGAAAGGCAATGCAAGGAATATTTAAAACTCCTTTATGGTTGGGCCAGGTCTAAGCTTAGACACTGTTACCTCTCTCTGCGCGGTTCACTGCATCATTTCAAGTCAATGTCTCCTCGTCCTGGAAATATGCATCTTCTAGGGCATTCAGCGCGGATATTCGCTTCAAGGGGTCAAAGGTCAGCATTTTCTGTGGAAGAAACAATCATAGTAGTTTAGATCTCCGGGTTTTAAAAAGGAACAGTTTTATTTTCTGCCGCCAGGCGTCTGAAAATCAAAACAATGACATAAGATGGAGTTTGTTGGCATTGTAAAGTTGCATGAGGTCATGAGTTGTTGTCTTCACCACCCATGTCATCTTTGTAGTGAGCTTTTCCATCCAGTTTATCATCGCTGAGGTTTTTTTTTTACCGCCACAGCGATCTCCTCTTCTCCAAAACAAATGGACCCATTGATTGAAATAGGTATATAAGCGGATCAAACTGTTTTATGTTGAAATCTGAGATTCTCCGTCTTTGCTTGACTGCCACTAACGCTAGCTCAGCTTGTTTCTCTGATTTGAATTCAGACTTTCGATGACTAATAATAATTTTTCAGGTTAAAATATATAGTAAAAAAGAAAAGCTGCCGTTAAGTGTATTGTTAAAAACGTGGCTTTAAAGTAGGTAGAAACTAAGTGAGAATGCCATCTTCTAGCAGAGAATTGTTTCATAACATTACGTTACCTTGATTAGTATAAAAGATTTCTCTAGGTCAGAAAATAGTTTGGATCCTTTGGGATGATTTAAGTTAACAATTCACACAAGCACAACCACTCACTTTTATAAGTCTAGTCGTTTTTAGGTATCTTAATGCAGAAATGTTACATTTTATAACTTTAAAAAGCATCAGTTGGAGGAGGCTGTCCCCCCTCTCTGTTTAGAATAGAATTGGGAAGGATGAAACCCTCTTTAAAAGGTCACACATGCAGAGCACACAGCACACAGTGAAATGTGTTCTCTGCATTTAACCCATCCTAGCACCAGGAGTGTAGTACTAGGAGTAGTGGGCAGCTATTGTACAGCGCCCGGGGAGCAATGGGAGTGAGGGGGGAAGGGGGATGTCCGGTGCCTTGCTCAAGGGCACAACGGCAGGGCAGCAGGTGAACTGGGACCTCTCCAAGTAGCAGACCACACTCCATATTTTAGGTCTGGTCGGGGACTTGAACCGGCAACCCTACGGCTCACAGTCCAAGCCCCTACTGACTGAGCCACTACTCATGTCTGAGTTCAGCATGAAGACTTGATACGTGGGTCTGTCTCTGTACAAAGGCAACACAATCTGTGTGCCGGCACCAATAAACCTCACTAACACACACCTTACATCTCATCTATTAACTACATTTAAAATAAAAGATTAGAGACGATACACGGCTCACATAGGGTTATGAGCCACATTACCATCTGCCCAGGACCAGTTGCCAGGCAACCAGTGGAAAGTACAAGAAGTTACTGGCCTCTTTTTTTTACTTTGCACTTTAACATATTGTTTCTACATCATACAAAGAAGCAGAATTAAATAAATACAAAGTCAAATGTAATCCCAGAAAAGCAACATTTACTGCACATTATCTTTTAGTGATTTCTGGGGTTTTCCTTTTCCTGTAGCTTGTTATATAGGTTTCTGTGCATGTTAAAGGACTGCAAAGGCTTAAATCACAAAGTTCCCCCAGAGGGAGTTTCTCTCCCACACTCCCGCCCCCCCTGCCTCATTTGGACTCCTTTGTTTACTTCAGGAACATAGTGACATCACTATGTGACACCCACGCCTCTATTGGTTAGCGCTCCAACACATTGTAAGTGTGTAAACATGTCACAGTAGAGGCACAAACACCTCATATACAAAATAAACCTGAACATGTTGGTAAAATCACTAATAATCAATTAGAACAATTGTGATCTTAGGTTTTTAGTTCTAGCAGTGAAACTAGTGTGCAGAAAGAGTACTTTTCTTTCAAAGAGAAGTACTGTAAGTAACGCTCTCTCCAGAGTTTAACCAGCTGGTTAAGTAACACTAGTCACAAGAAGTTCTTGTGGCAGATGATGAACATCAGCAGACTATGAGCAAAGACAAATTCTCCGGAGCCTTCCTGAGGTTATGGATCTGTTGCCGTCTTGTTTTCAACTGTACACAGCTGAAAATAAATAGTTTAGAAGACAGGATGGACCAACCTTTTAATTTTTAAATCTTACCAACAATAGTTGCGCCCCCAGCTCATTTATCTCTGGAACAAAGTCAGTGATCGGGCGTGGTAAGAGTGAGGGGAAGTGTTTCCTTGAGAGTGAAACATCAGCCGGCCACTCGTCCTCTGATGGCAAGCCAATAACTCTGAAATTACATTATATATTTAATTAAACACGCACAATATGAGGCATCTAGTCAGGTAAATGTGATGTTAACTATTTGAAACTCACTGAAGAATTTTTCCAAGTTGGTCCACTTCTGATTCTCCACAGAACAAAGGTCTAGCAGACAGAGAGTTTGAACCACAGTGAAAACATTGAAGCACTTTTATTAGTTCACATGCTTTTGCTATTCCCATTTGTGCAGGAAGGCAAATAGGAACATGATGTTCTTTAAACACAGATTGCAAACAGAATAATGATTTTACTGTTTGTATACATTTGCAACATCTTACCCCAATCAATTTGTTCGGGACATTATGATTGTATCATTATTTCATCACCATCGTTCACAGGAAAAATATTTGAGGCATGAATCTCTTTCTGAAGATGACTGCTTTCTAAATGCAATGTGTCATTTGTACCACTAGAGGGAGCTGCTGTGGGTGTACTCTATTTCTCAGCTGATCTGAGAGAGAAATTGCAAACTACATTAATATGCTTTAGTCACATGGTGATTTTTGCATGCAGAAACTGTTTGTATGTGTTGAAGCAGGACTGGAAGATGTCAGTGGATGGGCATGCCTGACACTGATGACACTTGTTTGATTATGATTTGTAGACTTGGTTGACGAAAGGGCAAGCATAAAATTAAATATGTGTATGTGCAGTTACATAATGGCAGCTGTTTTCACCAATTCACTTCCCGACAGTCTGACATCCAGCCCAGATTTCCCCGGAGCCGTAGATAACCTCATAATGTGATCTATTTACAGATAAAATCGAAACCCTGCTCCACAAACTCATCAGGGCAGCTCGGACACAGACACATAGATGTCTGTTTTGAATCTCCAGACAGAGTATACCTACTAACGTCAATCTCAAGCGTGAAAGGTGGAGCATACCTCTGGCATGATGATCAATATGATATTACATACTATTGTTTTAGAATCTTTGGAAGTATGAAAAATAAAAGCTACATTGAATTAGCCTTTATAGGGAATGTTGCCCAGATTAGGCTTTTTTTAACAACATAGTAAGGGAACCAATGTATTTAAATGTTTTGTACATTGTCCATATATTTAATTTGCTGACCTCAACATGAGGCTGAACAAGACTTCAATGATTATGCAAAGCCTCAATCGTTCCTAACTTTGTAACGTAGTATTAGGGGAAAAGAACATTGCCAGTGAACATTATACAAGCAAAGAAGTAGTGTCAAAATGAATCAGTAATATTAAAATGTATTTTGTGGGAGACCTTTTTCCATTTTTATTTTAGAGGTTCAAATGATCTATCCTCCGGCTAGCTCATCCGAGAAACTACAGCTGACTTTGTAAGCACGAACCTTTACCTTCAGGATATGTAATCGAATCTCTGCTGCTCTGTAACTTAATCAAATCTCCACCAAAAGTCGTATGCGCTGCTATCTTCGCCCCAGGACTCTCTTCTTATCAAATTACAGCCAAATGTTTTCATGCTACTTCTTTTAGATATAGATTTTTTTAAACCTGCATTTAAACACTGACACAGGCATATTGATCATAACAAACATAAACATACGTATTAAAAAGGCTTGTCTTCTTTAAGTTATTCTGCTGACTCACTTGCGTCTGAACATCTCAGCAAAGATGCAGCCGGTGCTCCAGATGTCCACAGGTGTGGCGTAACTGGACTGCAGCAGAACCTCGGGGGGGCGGTACCACAGTGTCACCACCTGACACACACACACACACACACACACACACACACACACACACACACACACACACACACACACACTTTTAAAATGTACTGTTTACACATGTTTTAGCTTGTGGACAACAGAATGCCTGTACTTTAGCTGCAATAATTACAAAAATGTTCCCTACATTGAGCTCCTACCAGGCGGACACATCCTTAATTTATTATGAATATGAAGTTACAAA